GGACCGGGGCCCGAACCCGTGTCCCCTGCATCGGCAGGCGGACTCTCAACCACTGCGCCACCAGGGAAGCCCCCATAGCATTTTGTTTTTGATAGAGCATACAGTGTTGCCTAATTCTTGATAATATTTGGTGGGAGGGGTAGTTTTGCTTCATTCAGATTGTGACATAATTTTTTTAACATGAAATGGTAAGTGATCAAGATTTCTTTCTGTAGGCTACGGAAAGTGAGGTAGGAGATGTAGATTTAACACGTCTTCCAGAAGGACCTGTTGATTCTGAAGATGAAGAAGAGGAAGAGGAAGAGATTGATCGAACAGATCCACTGCAGGGGCGAGATCTTGTTCGAGAATGTCTTGAAAAAGAACCTGCAGACAAAACTGATGATGACATTGGTAAGAAATACATCTGTTCACAATAGGAATTTTATAGTTCAATTTATATATAGATACCTATTGGTGCATAACAAATTACCCCCAAGAAGGTTTTGTGGGTCAAGAATTCAGGAGCAGCCTACCTGAGTCGTTCTGGCTCATTGTCTCTCATGAGGTTGTAGTCAGAATGTGACAGGGATTACAGTCACTGGGCTAAGCTGGAGGATCTGCTTCCAAGGTGGCTGCTCACATGGCTTTTGGCATAGAACCTCAGTTCCTCTCCACATGGGCTTCTCCAGAGGTTGTTTAAATGTCCTCACCACATGGCAGTTGGTTTCCCCCAAAGCCAGTAATTCAGGGGAGAATAAGGCAGATGCCATAGTATCTTTTATGATCTGGCCTCAGGAATGATACATCATTGCTTCTTCCCAATTCTGTTTGTCATACAGAGCAACCCTCATGCAGTATGGGAGGGGACTGCACGAGGACGTGAATATCAAGAGGCAAGAATTGTTTAGGGCCGTCTTTGAGGCTAGCTGCCCCAATATTAGAGCTTGTTTTGGAGGTTCTAGCAGTGGAACGCAGCTGCTCATATATCCGTAAGCGAAGGACAGTACTCCTTTCTCAGGGAAGGTTCTCCTCTATCGGGGCAGGTTGTTCTCTTTGACTAAGTGTACAGCTTCAGGATGGATGCATGTGTGGAGTGGTGAAGGGAGGAAGGGGACACCTGCCTAGACAGCCACATCAGCTGAATCAACCCTGGCCATCATTAGGGTGATGGATGTTGCAGCCAGATAGTCCTCACAGTCTGGCTGCCCCAATTTATAAAACAATAGCTTTGATTGCAGTAAAGTGATTTCCCCCTCCATGTCCATAAGACATGTAAAACACAGTGTGTCAGTGTTCAATGTCTATGAATTCAAAAAAATTTCAAATGTTATCAAAAATCATAGTTTTGCCTGTAGCTTGAAAAACTAATGTATGTGTATATTATTTGGTTCAAATTTTATGAATTTTCCTTTAATTTCTTATAGAACTACTTACTGTACATTGGAGGTTGAGTAATACTAAAGATGCTAATGTTATCTTTAAGGACAAAGATTACTTAGTGTTGTTATATATTATGATTCAATTAAGATTTTATCCTAGATTTCCCTTTTATAAGAGTCATACTGCTGTGATTCAAGTCAGAAGATACTGCTACTAAAATTATAATCTGTGGGAGTAAAGATCAATACGTTTGAACATTCCTTGCCATGCTAATAACATATAATATAGTTATGCAACCTACAGTTGAGACTCATGTTGTGAATGCTATCTGGACAGCAACTGTAAGTGCATTTTTAGTGGTAAAGATTGTACACTATGCTGTTTTCACAAGGCTTTCTTAAAAATTGAAATATGATTAACTTCCAGTTATCTGTAGATAGATAGCACCTTATGGTTTCTTCTATTTCAGCCTTAGCTGACTGCTTAAATGTTTTTTCCTTTATCTTTATTGCTCATGTATCTATACCAGGGAATGGCCTGAGGCAGGTATTCAAACATTTGTTGGTTAAATTAAAGAGAGTTACCTTGTAGTTGCTTTGACAAATCTGAAACTAGTATTCACATTTGTTGTCCCTAATTTAATTACTTACTGACATTTATTAATAACTGTTTAAAAACTGTAGCCCAGAAAGAAACAGACAAAAGCCTTTTACACTAGTCTATTAGATCAAAGGACATCACTAAATGTAACCACCATGGAATAGCATCTCCTGCTAGGAAAATTAGCTAAACTCTCCAGCCTCATCTGAATCTGTGTAGTTTCCTGGTTCTCTCTGGAGGTTGTGAATTCTGGTGTCTTCCATTATGCCTGTATTTTCATGTGAGTCTGAATATATCTGTTAACCAACTAACTGAATTTTTTTTAAGCAACAGTCATCTTGTATCTTGGTTTCTCTGGTTTAGCAGCATGAATTCCTAAGTTGATTAGAAAATTGGGTATTGGATTCTGGATTTTATTGTATCTTTAAACTGTAGTCCTTGATGCTCACTAAACTAGAATTTCTGTTTTTTAACAGAACAGTTACTGGAGTTTATGCACCAGCTTCCTGCTTTTGCAAACATGACCATGTCTGTAAGGAGAGAACTCTGCTCAGTGATGATTTTTGAAGTGGTGGAGCAGGCTGGAGCTATTATTCTTGAAGATGGGCAAGAGGTAGGTTAGCAAATAGATGTTACACATTAATTGGTTATAGCAGCTAATTTTTAGAATAATTTAATTTTCATAAACTTGTGTAGATCTTGACTTTTAAAATTTATACAATTTTTTAAATGACTGCTGAGTTTGGGATAGTTATAATTTCTGAAAAGATAAGTTTTGTTTTGTTTTTGCTTTATTTTGTCTTAATTTTGATTTCCGGGCAGTGGACCTTGCACAGAATAGATGTTCAGTAATTAATATTCATTGGACCAAATTTGTTTTTACTTCTCAAATTAAATTATAAGACTTTAAAAAATTTTTCTTAATTATTCTGTTTTGTTTTGTTTATTAATTTATTTTTTTTCTTATTAGTCATCCATTTTATACACATCAGTGTATACATGTCAATAATTATTGTTATATTAGTATATTTATAACATTATTATTAAAATGTTTTTCAAGTATGTAATCTCCTTATCCCTTTTTCATATTATACAGTTTTTTTTAAATGAAGGAAATGTATTGGTACCTGTGCCTCCTAGTAGACTGCTGTCAGTTGAGGCATTTATGTGGCAATTCTATTTTCAAAAATGCTTGGATGGCAACTTGCGGATGGGCGGAGGGAGGATTCAGAGGAATTGAAAAGTGTTACTGCTGTTAGGTAGCACTTCACTGGTTTTCTTATCGAACTGATAAAAATGAATGGTGAGATGTCAGTCAGTGCACATTGTCATATACTACTAGTAGGAATATAAACAGTATTTCTGGAAAATCATTTAGAAATTTTTAACATGGGCTTCAAAGTATTAACAGCCTCTAACCCATTATTCCCCTTTTTAATGTCTCTCCTCCAGACACAATATAAAACTCAGAGTTATGCCAAAAGATATTCATTGGAGGATATGTATAATAGTAAAAATTGGAAATGACCAAAATATATCCCCCCGAAAAAACAGTGGTTAACTAAATTATTATATAGCCACAGGTTATAATACTATATAGGTTTTCAAGTTATTGTAAAATTTGATAGATATCTTTGAGGGCAGGGGCCTTAGCTCTAGCTTTGTCTACATGCTTTCTCCCTGTATCCTAGCAATCGTTTGGCACATAGGGTATACTAAAAAAAAGTTTGTTGAACAAATGAATATAGTATTAAATTTTAAAAGGACAGGATAGTCTAAATAGTTCAACAATGTGAAATAATATAAACATGGGAGAAAAATACTAAACTTTTGATGACAACTGTATAAATAGTGGGGTTTTGAATAACTTTACTTTTCCACAAATTTTGTCTTCTTTTAATATTTCACGGTTCTGTCAGCAAAAATTTGTTGTGTGCCTTCTTTGTGCTAGGTACACAGGATAGTGGTGGAAAACCCCAACACAGCCCCTGTCCTCAAGTAATTTGTGTAATCCACAAATTCCACAGTGAGTGTATTTTATATTTGAAATAACTAAAAATTAAAAAAAACAGTTTTGAAAAAATATTTCTTGTTGCCAGTGATTCTCCTTTAGAACTGATAATCCAGATTTCCCTTAAATCACATTAAAACTGATTTACATTAAAATTGAAAGTTTAGGCTAATAAAAGGGATACCACATGAGAACAAGTAGTCTTTCACTGATATACAATAGGCCTTAGAATATGTCTCCTTAGAGCATTAAATACTTTGGTATAAATTGAGAGCAGTATTTTCTTAACATAAGGAGAAATTTTCAATATTTTTTAAGATATGCCTTAAAATTCAGGCTTTTAATAGTTTTTCTGAATTAATCACTAGCTCCCTTTTTTTTTTTTCTTTCTTTCTTTTGAATGTTTGCTATGTGCCAGACACTATTCTAATCACTTGGTTTGTATTAAACTCATTTTTAATGGACACAAAAGTCCTGTGATAGGTAATGTTGTTATGCCCATTTTAGCAGTAAAGAAATTGAAGCCTAGGAGGTTAAATAACTTGCCCAGAGTCACTCAGCTAGTCAGTGACAGATTCTGGATTCAAATTCCAAGAGCTGTTGGTTTTTTTTTTTTTTTGTATTAATGGGACTGTGCCGTTTGTAGCCTTTTTTTTTAAATTATTTTATTTAATTTTTGGCTGCATTGGGTCTTCGTTGCTGCACGCAGTCTTTCTCTAGTGCAGCGAGCAGGGCTGCTCTTCATTGCAGTGCGCAGGCGTCTCATTGCGGTGGCTTCTCTTGTTGCGGAGCACAGGGTCTAGGCGTGGGGGCTTCAGTAGTTGTGGCTCACGGGCTCTAGAGCACAGGCTCAGTAATTGTGGCGCATGGGCTTAGTTGTTCCACAGCATGTGGGATCTTCCCGGACTAGGGCTTGAACCCATAGTTCCCTGCATTAGCACGTGGATTCTTAGCCACTGTGCCACCAGGGAAGCCTAGAGCTGGTGGTCTTAACCGTAACAGTTACTGAGAGTTCCTGATTTCATTTGGTGACTAAAAGAAGAAAGAGTAAAATAAACTTTAGTGGTTGGCTTAACAGGAATAGGGTGTTACTGACAGAGTATTTAGTAATATAATCAGATATTCTTTTTTCTTTTTTAAATTATACGAGTTCTATATATTGATTGATTATTTTTCAAAGTTAACATGTAACCCTCTTTTCCCAAAGATTCTTAAAGCGTATATTTTTCTCTATAGCTTGACTCATGGTATGTTATTTTAAACGGCACTGTAGAAATTAGTCATCCAGATGGAAAAGTTGAAAATCTCTTTATGGGAAATAGTTTTGGAATTACACCCACTCTGGATAAGCAGTACACGCATGGAGTTGTTAGGACTAAAGTAGACGATTGTCAGGTAAGCTTATGTCTGCTTGTGTTCTCTTGTTTCTTGATTTTAAATGGCTGAGCTTTTTGTTCCTTCCCCAAAATAAAATAGCTTGATTTGAGAATTGGGGGTTTGAAAAGCTCACAGTTAATAAAGGAAACTAGATTTTATATCAGACTCAAATATTTGTGGAATTGAGCAAACTATACATATTTTAAAGAGAATATGTCTAATAAATGTTGATTTGTTAAATTTCTATCTGATATTAGCCAGCTCAGTCTCTTTTTTGTTTTTTTTTTCAATAGAGGAAGAAATAGGAACTTCTGAGTTGTTTGTTTCTAACTTACTCCTGCTTCATGTTTTCTTTGCATAGTGTCAGTTTTGAGAGAAGTAGATGCTCACTTCTCCTTTTAGAGTAGAATTCAAATGGATTTAATTTCTTTGGTCTCTTTGTGCATGAATTATTTATTTTATCTTGATTTTTGTTAAGGAATGAAGGGATGAAATAAAAAAGAACTTATGCCACTTGAGTTCTGACCTTTGTGCTCTGCCTTGGTGCATAGTGATATATTTATGTATTATAGGTTCATTAATTGTCCCCATGTTGTTCTCGGACAGTTTGTCTGCATAGCCCAGCAGGATTATTGGAGAATTTTAAATCATGTGGAAAAAAATACCCATAAAGTTGAGGAAGAGGGAGAAATTGTTATGGTACATGAGCACCGTGAACTAGATCGCAGTGGAACCAGGAAAGGACACATTGTAATCAAGGTGGGTATTTTTTACTTATTTTTCTTGTTATTGATAGAATAAAGCTTTCATCTTGCTTAAAAGGTTTTGAACCACTTTTTGAGTAGTGCAAGATAATTCATTAACTTTGGGATCTAGTGTAAATAAATGTGTTAATTCTTTTGACTTTTTCTAAGTTGGTTTTTACACATTTTGTTGAGGAAGGGTAACATTGCCATTTAATATCAGTATGGACGGATATTATTTAGAGTATACCAGTCAAAATTTTCCTTCTCAAATTTATTGTATGATCCGTTGATAATGGGAATTAATTTAATCAAAGACAGCAATATTCAGAAACAAAACAGAAATTGAAAGGACCAACCATAAATGCATAAAGAATCCTAGATGAGTGCTTACTAGATCTCTGTGGCATTGAAATAGACATTAACTTCTCTGAACCTCAATTTTCATATCTGAAAATGAGGATGCTATGGCAGGGCTTTATTAGGGCTAAATGTGGCAAATCAAAAGCCTTAGCATGCTATAGAATCTGAGTATTACTACCCATATTGTTTTCCCTTCTCTAATTCCTTCTCTACCCTATTCCTTGCCCCCTTGCCTTCCACTCTCCCATCTCCCTGTCTCTTTAATGACATATAGATGTAAAATAGAGCAATTCTAGTTGCAAGAGAGGAAGTAAATGCATGACCTTTTTTTCTTTTCAAGTAAGTCTTGGTTGCAAAATAAGTATATGTGTTATTTTTCATTATAAGTGCAGAAGCTTTATTTAACAATAAGAGGGACTGGTGTCAGATTCCTCAGGAGTCAGGCTATTCCTCAACACTGTCTTTTTCTTTTCCTGAGTTGATAGGCGTAAGCTTTCTATGTAGAAAAAAATGAGTATATATGTGGACTGCATAGACTATCTTTTTATGAAGGCTCATGGTGAGCCTTATATTTTTATAATTTCTTTTTCTTTTTCTTTTTTTTTACAAATTTGTTTATTTTTGGCTGTATTGGGTCTTTGTTGGCTTTTCTCTAGTTGCAGCGAGCAGGGGCTACTCTTGCGGTGTGCAGGCTTCTCATTGTGGTGGCTTCTCTTGTTGTGGAGCACGGGCTCTAGGCGCACGGGCTTCAGTAGTTGTGGCACGCAGGCTCAGTAGTTCTGGCTTGCAGGCTCTAGAGTGCAGGCTCAGTAGTTGTGGCGCATGGGCTTAGTTGCTCTGCAGCACGTGGGATCTTCCTGGACCAGGGCTCAAACCCATGTCTCCTACATTGGCAGGCGGATTCTTAACCACTGTGCCACCCAGGGAAGCCCTGTAATTTCAAACTTACAGAAGAGTTGCAAGAACAGTACAGAGAACACCCTGACTCAGATTCCCCAAATGTTAACATTTCACTGCATTTTCTCCATTATCGTCAGTCTTTTTCAACCGTTTGAGAGCAGTCTGCCTCCTCACTCCTAAATGTTTCATTGTGTATATCCTAAAAGCAAGAACAGTCTCCTATTATAAACACCATAGAAACCTTCAAGTTAGGAAATGTACATTGATAAAGTAAAACCATTCAGTCCACAGATACTATTTAGATTTTTACCAACTATCCCAACAATGGCTCTTTTTTCCTTTTTGGTTCAAAATCTCATCCAGGCACACAGTTGCATTTAGTTGTCATGTCACTTAAGTCTATGCCAGGAACAGTCTTTCCCTCTTTCCTCCCTGACTCAAGAGCAAATCAAAGAAATCTCTTGTAGGGAGACAATATAACCCAGTGATTCAAGTATGACCCTCAGATAAGATCTGTCCAGTGTTGCCTCATGCCCAGACTATAGTCATGCTTTCCAGGCAGGAATTCCACAGAAATAATGTTGTGCTTTTCTCAGTGCATCATTTCAGGGAGCGTACAATGTCAACCTATCTCACCACCAGTGAAGTTAACCTTAATCACCTGGTCCTCTTGGTGTCTGTCAAGTTTCTTCACTTAAAGCCACCATTTTACCCTTTGTAATTGATGAGCATTTGGAGCATTGATGTTCTGGGATAGTGTCAGTATGTCTTAACAAACCTCTATCCACCAGTCTTTACTTCAATTGACTACTCCTGCCTGTAATGGTGATTTTCTATTTCCATTATTTCTTCTACATTTATTGTCATTCTACTGTAAGAATGAGCATTCTCCCCTCTTTAATTATATTGTTATGGTCTCATGTATTGTATTCCCTTACCATCAGTGTTGTTCTGATCGTCAGATTGTCCCAGATTTGGCCAGTGGGACTCTCTTAAGGCTGATTCCTGTATCCTTTTGACATGTCCCCATCATTTTTTGAGAGCTTCATTATTATCTGGCAAAATGAGATGTTCCAGGCTCATCTTTTACTGCCCCTGCTTTGGAATCAGACATTTCTCCAGAGAGCCCTGGATCCTTCTAGTAGAGAACAGCATTAAAAAACCAAGATCTGGGCACTCTGTTCACTGCTACTGTGGTGTCATTGCTTCTAGAACTTTTCATCAGACAGAGGTAGGAAGTATATTTATTTATTTACTATAAATTCATACACACCTATATCTTCTTATATCTATCTATCTATTGATAACAGTCAAGAGTTCATACCAGTACTCCCAGTTCCAGTACTGTACCACAAAGTTTTTGGTAGCCTTTTCCTTCCCCTACTTGTAAATACTTTATCCACCAGTGGCTCTTGTTATGCTCTATATATTTACTTATTTGTTCATCATAACCAAACTCTACCATGCCAGCCATCTCCTTCACCTGCCCACTCTGCATACCCTGTCACCCAGCATCCACCTTATTAGATGCTAGTGAGCAATTTGGTAACATGCCTCTGCATGACAATGGGACTTGTCTTTTTTTTAAAAAAGATTGATTTATTATTTATTTATTTTATTTATTTTTGGCTGGGTCTTAATTGCAGCACGTGGTATCTTCTTGTGGTGCACAGACCTCTCTCTAGTTGTGGTGTGCGGGTTTTCTCTTCTCTAGTTGTGGCTCACAAGCTCCAGCGCACGTGGGCTCTGTAGTTTGTGGCACGTGGGCTTGCTAGCTGAGGTGTGCAAGCTCCGTAGTTGTGGTGCATGGGCTTAGTTGCCCCGCGGCATGTGGGGTCTTAATTCTCTAACCAGGGATCAAACTCGAGTCCCCTGCATTGTAAGGTGGATTCTTTACTACTGAACCACCAGGGCAGTCCCAGGGACTTGTCTTTAAATACAGTTTTGAATATATGGCCTAGTCTCCACAGAGATCCTGCCTCAGTGATTTAGCTAATCAGAATAATGACCTTTCTTTAACATGTTGATCATTTCCACCCCTGACTTAGCTATATATGATCTAAGAACCGCATTTTAAGTGAACTCAGATTGTGATTTGCCTTAATGATAGACCCAATTTGGTATTCTTGGAGTGTTTTGGAGGGTGGAGAAGAATAGGAATGACCTGTGGTTGTCTTGTCCCTTAAATAGGTAATTCAAAGAGCCTTTCCTCTGACTTCCTTCTAGAGAAATGATTTACATACCTTATTAGCAGTGGGGTACCCTTTTTTATTTTTTAATAAATTCTTAAATAAGAATACTGTTAGTATTAATCTGTGTTTGCCATGCAGTAATTCTGGCCAGTGAAATTCTTTGGATAAATGCAACAAATTGAAATTTGAGGTTATGGGCAACAGTTGATTTTTATATTTGGCTTAACATCTGGTTTATTTCTGTATTTGTTTTGTGTACCCATTTTTGAAAATGTTGCTAAGGTAATAAAGTTTAACATTGATTCAGAAGCTCAAGAAGGAGCAGTAGATAAATGTTGTTTGCATTCCTTTTTATAAGTTGGGAAACAGGCAAGGAGTTAAACTCTGAGTTAATGTAAAAAGTATCTATAGAACTTCTGGTTCCTCTGGTGAACTAGAATGAAGAAACCATAGAAGAGGAAACCTCTATTCCCGGAAGTAACAACAATAAAACAAGCTATCTTGAGCTGCTATGTTGTTCCTATAGCCTGGGACAGAAGAGAATTTAAGGATGATTAAATTTGGAAGAAAACTTTATTTATTTACTTCTTTAATTTAACTCTTACCTCTTCCTTCTCTTTACTCGCGACAGTCATTACATTATCCCCCCATTCTTATGATGAAATGCCAATAAAAACAGCTATGGCCAAGTAAATGCTGTTGTGCATGTTTATTCCTCTGCCTTTTCTCTCTCTAAACCTCTGGGTGATGGTGGACTACAACCTAGAGAGACTACCTACTCCCAGTACTGAGGGTTTTAAAAGTGAAACTTTACTTCAAGGACTTTGTAATAGAGTGGCTACAAAAGGAAGTAATCAATAGGAGTTCTTTGGTTCCTGAGCTACTTGTTTATTTTCTAATTCTTCCTATATTTTTCTTTTTTAGGCAACACCTGAGCGTCTCATCATGCATTTAATAGAAGAGCATTCCATTGTGGACCCAACTTATATAGAAGATTTCCTATTAACTTATAGAACATTTCTTGAAAGTCCTTTGGATGTTGGGACCAAACTATTGGAATGGTTTAAAATTGACAGCTTAAGGGATAAGGTTGGTTTTATAATTATAAAAGGCATGAAAGTGATTTTAACTTTTAAATTTTATTCCCCCAAAACCTTTTGCAACTGACAAATTAAATGTTTATTTTGATAAGATTCAGTTCACCTAAAAAGTTAGTGAATCAGTATAGACATATGTCTGCTTGGTTACTTTTATGACAGAATAAAATGTTAAAAGTGGATATTTTGCCTTTTAAAAGGCAAAAACTGAAAGCAGGCTGTGGTGTAGCTGTAAATTCAGAAGATGGATGATAATATTTTTACACTTTATCAAAATACTTGGTGGTTACTGAGGAGATCAATAAAACATTTAAAAGTCATTTAATAGTTTAGAAAGAATATCCACCAAGTAAATTTTTTCAAGAGGGCTTAGAAACAATCTAAATAGAATTAGAAATACATTGATTTTTGAGTTAAAGACTTTTTAATCATTTTAAAACAGTTTATCTTTCTGACCATAATTTATCACTGCTGTAACTTATTTTAATCTAGAGGGGTTTTTTTTGCATTAAACATTGTTTGCTGTTATAAATAGATTATCTTACCTTATTTTATGGGGTGTTTGTACTTCTCATGGAAAGAATAGTGATACCTCAGCTACTGGTACATTACTACCAGTAAACTACCTCAGTAACAGGTAGGAAGTTAGTCATTTTAAGAAAAATAAAAGTAGGGCCATAATAATTAATAATAATTGCCTGGTATATCTTTCTGAGTTATACTTTAAGGGAAATAAGTTAGATGTAGTTGGACTGTGGAATTCTATCGTCTAGGAAACTCAAGTGTCCAAAACTACAGGCTTGCCTTCCCCCTGATTTTGAAATTATATATAGTTACTTAGGTTGCTAAGGAAATAAAGGCATGCTAGAGAATGAACAAAAATATGATTTAAGGACAACTTAAATATTCATGTGTAAAAGAATGAAGTTTGACCTTTGTACCGTATTCAGTATTAACTCAAAATGGATCAGAAACCTAATATTAGAGCTAAAACTATAATACTCTTCAAAGAAAACGGGTGAAAAAAAATCATGACCTTGGATTAGGCAGTGGTTTCTTAGGTATGATACCCAAAGCACAACCTTGAACAATGGAAAAAACAGATATATTGAACTTCATCAAAATTAAAACCTTTTCTACATTAAAGGTACTATCAGGAAAAACAGGACAACACATGGAATAGGAGAATATATTTGCAAATCATATGTCTGATAAGGGTCTAGTATCCAGAATATATAAAGAACTCTTACAACTCAACACCAAAAAGGCAATACAATTTAAAATGGACAAAGGACTTGAATAGACATTTCTCCCAAGAAGATATGTAAATGGCCAGCAATCACATGAAAAAGATGTTCAGTGTCATTAGTCAGGGAAATTGCAAATCAGAACCACAGTGATGGTTTTGATCACTTCACACCCACTAAGATGACTTAAAAAAAGGAAAGGAAATAACAAGCATTTTAAGGGTATTGATGTGGAGAAAATGGAATTCCCATACTTGATTATGGTAATGTAAAATGGTGTAGCTGCTGTGGAAAACAGCTTAGCAGTTCTTCAAAAAGTTAAACATAGAATTACCGTATAACCCAGTAGTTCTACTCCTGAAGCATATATCCAAAAGAGCTAATAGGTGTGCAAACAAAAGTTTGTAAGCAGTGTTCATAGCAGCACTATTGATGATGGCCAAAATGTGGAAACAACCCAAATGTCCATCAACTGATGAATGGATAAACAAAATACAGTATACCATATAATGAAATATTATTCAGCCATTAAAAAAAAATGAAATACTGATACATGGTGCAACATGCATAAACCTTGAAAATATTATGGTAAGACAAAGAAGCCAGTCATAAAAGATCACATATTGTATGAGGTATCCAGGTAGACAAATCACAGAGACAGAAAAGCAAGTAAGTAGTGGCTGTTAGGGGCTGGAAGAAGGGTAGAATGGGAGGTGACTGCTTATTGGGAATGGGGTTTTCTTTTGGGGTGATGAAAATGTTCTAGAACTAGTAGTGGGGACGGTTGTACACAATTGTGAATGTGCTAAATGCCACTGAATTGTACACTTTATAAAGTGGTTAAAATGATGGATTTTATGTGTATTTTACCACAATTTTAAAAGTATATGACTTAAATTACTTATATTGTTAGGCACTTTTTTTTTCCCTTTTTTTTTTTTTTTAGATTTTGGAAAATTCTCTGGGTTATTTCTTTTGATCTTATTTTGGCTCCTGTGTCTTTTCTTAATATTCAGAAGCTTTTTATTATTATTAATATTTATTGGAGTGTAGTTGCTTTACAGTGTTGTATTTCTGCTGTACAGCAAAGTGAATCAGGTATACGTATACATATATCCTCTCTTTTTTGGATTTCCTTTGCATTTAGGTCACCACAAAGCACTGAGTAGAGTTCCCTGTAGACACATTATTTAATTCAATCTCCATTTGTTAGTTTTTAACTTTTCTGTTAATCTGTGGTACAAAGTAATAAATCAGTTCACAACTTTGAAAATACACAGTATTTACGAAGGAAGTTTCAGATTTTTATTACAATTTTGGTGAAACATGTTCTCAGCTAAAGAAACACTTTTGACATTTGCCTGCTCTTGGCAGCTTGCATTTTAAGATACTGTCCAAAATATATATCCCATGTACTTCTTACATGTTAGTATACAGGCTTGTTTTTTCAGTGAAGGCAGTCTTGGCTTTCTCTGTTACTTGTGTATGTAAGGAAGCAAAAGCTCAAACTAAAACATGCCTCTCTGTTAGAATGAGCCTTTTGTGTGTGAGCAGGTGGGCAAAGGGATTAGCCATAAAACTCAGTTTCCCCTCGGTTTAAGACATGCTTTTGGAACCTACTTTTGCAGAAAGAATGCCTCTCATATAATCGTATGCTGCCTCTTCCATGTTTCCGCAGGTAACACGGATTGTATTATTATGGGTAAATAATCATTTTAATGATTTTGAAGGTGATCCTGCTATGACTCGATTTCTGGAGGAATTTGAAAAAAATCTGGAAGATACAGTAAGGCTCAGAAGAATTTTATCTTCTTCAGAGTTTAGGGATTCTTACCAACCTCCCACCCCACCCCTGAAGAATAGCAACTCAGAACAGCTTTCATCTTCTCCTGTGTCTTGATTGCCTGTTCTGAGAACTTCTAAATCTGTATTCTAGACTTCTGTTCATCCTCTGCTACTTCAGCCCAAACAAAAATCATGCTTCTTCCACAGTCTTCACTGATTTAGGCATACAAATACACATACTTTATCAGATCTACTTTAGACTTTCTAAGTCTCCCTTCTGCATGTGATTTCACTTGTTCTTAATATACAACACCTACAATTAATACCCTCAAGGTCTTCTTAACTTTCATGGTAGCTATTTATAAATCCATTTTATTTTCCCTATTAGATATAAAGCTTTGAACTGCAACTGGGTTATCTGCTCCAAGAAACTTGAAATTTTAGGAAGTTAATAATGCAGCTCAGGAGTCAGATTGCCTGAATTAACATTCAGACTTCACCACTTGGTGCATATGTGAACTTGGACAAGTTGTCCAACCTTATATGCCTCAGTTGTCTTATTTTATAGACAGTAGCCTCTAGATTGTTGAGATTGTTGTGAGGATTTTAGTAAGTTAATAAACATAAGAATCTGCCAGCAAAATCTGGCACATAGCAAATTTTCAAGAACCATTGTTATTACTCATATAGTACAAGTGGATTAAGTTGAATAAAGAGGGGGAAATTGGCAGATTATTTTGTCCCTTTCCTTACCTCTTGGTTCCTGTAGCCTTTTCAGCAGCACATCTGCTCTATGTGAAATGGGGGGGATGAACAGGGAACTTGATTAAGAGGTCCATAGAGGCTCTTCCAGTGCTGGCTATGTAAATATTCAAGGGGCTTATGAAAAATAGAAACTGCCTTACAATCATGGGATTTTTTTCCCCAGTAATCGAGTCAGTCATCAAGTATTTATTGAATTCTACTTTATACTCCCAAGTTGTTATATAGGATCACAACAGGTGTAAGACTTCGTTCCTACCCTGAAAAAAATTTAGCTTCTTGTTATAGACATGAGATCTACTTAGTACACTATTCGAGAATAGTTAAATATTAAACTGGTATTAGAACCTGAAAGTTAGAATATTATTAGTTTAAGGAAGATCTAAAATAATATAGGAAGATCTAAAATAATATAAGAATAATATTTCTAGAAGAGATGGAGACTTGAATGTGTCTTTGAATGTTAGACAATGTTGGGAAGGTGGGTCAAGTCCTTTAAGGTTTTAAATAAAGGTTTAAAAAGATTCTGGTTTTATGTAACAGCCAGGAGATAAGCAAGATGGTAATAACAGATTATGTATTAGTAAGGTTCAGAAAATGAAGAAGAAATTTTTTTTGTCATCCCTCTCTAAATGAGACATCACTTTTCTAACCTTTTCTAGAAACTTAAAAAAAATCATATTAAGAGATCTTATTCTTGAGAGTGCTCTAGGGTGGAATGTTTCCCTCCAGCTTTATTTACCCCTATTTATATGTTCTTTATTTCCTCTATATTTTAAATATAGCTCTAATTCTAATAATTTTAGGTGATTTATAAAAGCCTATAGGAATAAATATATACATTTATATATACCTTACCCCTTTCTACTTTCTAGAAAATGAATGGTCATCTCCGGTTATTGAATATTGCCTGTGCTGCAAAGGCTAAGTGGAGACAGGTTGTGCTGCAAAAGGCTTCCCGGGAGTCCCCTCTGCATTTCAGCCTAAATGGAGGAAGTGAGAAGGCATTTGGTATTTTTGTTGAAGGTGTAGAACCTGGTAGCAAAGCTGCTGATGCAGGACTGAAACGTGGTGATCAGGTAAGTAAATAACAACCACTTAAAGCCTTTTTATAAGTAATAGGTGTGCTACTTTTTTCCTCATCTGATATTTCTTCAAGTAAGCATGGTAAATTTTAGGAAGTCTTTTTTAAGCTTCTTTTTAGAGGTAGTATTTTTTAAATCGTTTATTTTAAAAATGTCTTTGTCATATATCCATTACTTTTAATGGTAAATTTGATATAGTACATCCAGAAACAGCATGGCCACTATCAACCTGAATGGTCCTGCATATCCTCCAAGGATTAGGACCTCTATCAGTTGGCAACTTCACAGTATTCCAGAAAGATCCATATGAGAATTAGCACCCTACCCTTGCATGTTGTAAAGGAGTAAGCACTTCTATCCTTACTCTAAGTGGCCTAAGATTACCATAAATGATGGTTTTGGTTTAAATAATGTTCATATGGTAACAGAACTACATCCATAAGCAGAGTGAGCTGGCTGAGGGACTAGGAAAAGGAAGGAGACACTGGGAGTAAATTGATAGGGATTTATTCTCTCCGTGTAGGCATTAGTTAACTATAGAACAATATATTTCAAAAATGAGATTATGGACAGCCTTTTTACTAAAAAATACAATTCCTAGAGCCACCTCAGTCTTAGTAATCATATTAATCACATTCTGCAGAGGTGAAGACTGGAAATCTGTATTTTGAACAAAGCTCTCTAGATAATTCTCACGTACAGCAAAGAGTCTAGATAATTCTCATGTATACCAAAGAGTGTTTCTCATCTAGCTGAATCACTTGGGAAGCTGAATTTGTTCCACTTAAAAATTTTGGTTTGTTCACACATTCATTTAGAATGTGACTTTATTTTACTTTTAACCAAACCATACTGTCATTTTTATAAATTAAGAGGGCATTCACAGGGACTTCCCTGGTGGTTCAGTGGGTAAGAATCCATGCTTCCACTGCAGCGGGCACAGGTTCGATCCCTAGTCAAGGAACTAAGATCCCGCATGCCACAAGGCCAAAAAAAGAGGGCATTCACATTATGAAAAGGTCTACACTTCAGGACAGTGACTCTCAACCAGCAGTAATTATGTCACCCAGGAGACATTTGGTGATGTCTGGAGTTATTTTTGATTGTCATGGCTTGGGAATTACTACTGGCATCTAGTGGATAGAGGCCAGGGATACTGCTAAAGAGCCTACAACACCCCGTGACAAAGCAGCCACCACAACAGAGTTATCCAGACCAAATATTAATAGTGCAAGGGGTTAAGAAACTCTCACATAATAAGTAAAACGTATATCGTAATAAAATATTTTAAAATTTAGAAAATGATGTAATTTTAGAAAAGAAACTCTGATATAAAGTTTTAACGATTCCCTTCTTCCCATAAGGGAGTTTTATAGAATAGAGATTTCTGGACCTTACTCAGACTACTCATTAAGAGTATCTAGTAGCAAGGAACCTGGAGTCATTATATTTATTGTTCTAGTATTTTTTGGTAAACGTATTTAAGAATCTCGTTCTTCACAGGAAGAAAAAAAAAAAGAAAAATCCAGTGGTTTCATTCCTGACAGAGGAGAGAAATTTATCATGTTTTTACTTCTTCCCTCAGTCCTCCTAAGTATGGTTGAAATTATCTGAGATTTTAGATCTAGATTATAAGTCGTTTTTTAACATTATGGATGTTCTCTTTTAAGAGTACTTTGACATTTGCATTAAGTTTCATAAGCTTATTATTAACAGTCATTTAGATGTTTGCACCTGCCTTACTGATTTCATCGATCACCTCCACTTCATCTTTGCCCATATGTCCCCATTATTTTATCTCACGATTGTCTTCTAATACTTCTAGTACCTTTTCTAGTACTTTTTTCAAAAAGGGTAAATGAGTACTATAACTTTGTGTCCTTACATGTCTTGATGATACTTTTTTGTTTAATGGAGTGTAAAAAATCTTTTATCACAGTCATTCTTCCCTCAGAACATTGAAGTCACAGAAAAGTATCACATCACTTAGTGTGGCCCAAAAGAAGTACAAACCATCCTTTATTTTTCTTTTCTAGGTACCTCTGGTTCTCCTCCCCGCCACACACCACCACCACCAACCCCCACAGTGATCCTTATAGAGTCTTTGTTCTAAGTCTTTGGAATTCAGAATTTTCATGGGATCTTTTTTTTTTTTTTAATTTCTTTCTTTCTTTATTTTTTTGCCTGGTACTAGATGATCCATTTCAGTATGTAGACTGAAGACTTTTTTGAACTCTGGGGATTTTACTTCTGTGACTTTTTTTTTCTTTTTCTTTTCCTAATATTTTGTTTCTCACTCTTTTTTATCCTTTTGAAATCTTTGTGTCAATCCTTGAGATCTGTCCTCTGTGCTGCCTTTTTTTCTCGTGTTTATCTCTTTATCCTTCTTCCTTGGAATTAGTACTTTTTGAATAAGCTTCCAGTTGATTCTGAGGTGCAGCCAAGTTTGTGAAGCCCTGATGTGAGTGATCAGCAGTGTCAAATGGAGCAAGACCCCATCACAGTTTGCTTTTTTTTTTTTTTTTTTTGGGTACGCAGACCTCTCACTGTTGTGGCCTCTCCCATTGTGGAGCACAGGCTCCGGACGCGCAGGCTCAG